ATCATATAGAAGTCTTTGCTGAAAACAACGGATATTGAGTTGAAGTCAGAATGTAATGAAAGTTAATTAAAATGCAAACTATTAGGGAAACACTGCGGATGTCTTTCTATTATATCCAACCGGACACTCTTTAGACACTCCACCCTCTCTTATATTATACTTGTATTGTGAGACTTGAATGGTTGTCAACAGTTTTCTGTTGACAGAAATGACAACAGTTCACCTTTGAAAACTCTTCACTCAGAACTACAATGATGATTGCTCTTGAGAGGAAGGACTTTTGAAACAAATAACTTTCACACATTCACACTTACACTTGCACACCCCAAACGCACACGCAATTGCCGGTTTTTGAAAACGTTGCCACTGAATGAGAGACAGAAAGAGAGAGAGAGGAGAGAGAGAGAGGAGAGAGAGAGAGAGAGAGAGAGCGAGCGAGAGAGAGAGAGAGAGAGAAACTGGAACTCGAGCTTAGGTAACCAACAAACCCAATTACTAGGCTTTATTGATACTAAAAGGAAAAGTTCCCCTCGTAAAATTTCTCTGAGCTTATTAGTTATTTAAATCAGCCCCAGGGCTGGACGCGCGACGCCGCAGGCACCTTCTGTGGGCTCCTGGAAGTGAGCAGCCAGCGTCCTCGCGCCGACCTACCGCCCCTCGCTCGATCCTGGGCGCCTGGGGCCAAGGCGGGCGCAGCGAGCCGAGGTGAGCCACTGGTCAGGGACTCAGGGCCCGGTACGCCGAGACAGAGCTCCGCGTGGCCTAGGGTAGGACACTGGGGATCAGCCTTTGGAAAGGAACAGGTCCCAGTCAATAATAAGGGATGAGCGAGTAGGCCAAGCGGCTGCGGGGAGCCGGAGCTCAGCGGGCTCGCTGCGGGGCTCCCCCGACCCGGGCCCGCTGGGCACCGGCCCTTGCTACCCGGCCAGAGCGCGGGTGTTCGCGCCGTGAGTTGGGCGTAGGGCCGATCAGACCTCCAGGGCTCGTTACAGTTTTGTGGGGGTCTGAGAGCTTTGCAATTCGGTGGGCACCAGGTAAATTTACACCTTTCTAGGTCACTGTCTCCAGTTGACAGCCCCTCTGTGTGTGTGTGTGTGCGCGCGCGCGCGTGTGTGAATGGTGGCGGGGGGGGGTGTAAATAGCTGAATTTATTGAAAACAAACCCCAACTTGCCCAGTGAAGTCCTCTAAACCCGACACGGGGTTCTCAAGTCCAGATGTGGCGCAGGGACCGCGCGAGGTGATGCCCTGTTCTTCTGGGCTTGGCTGCAGGGCCGGGAGGGAACGCACAGCCGGGTGGGTAAGAACTAAGCCCATGTCGCCGCCGTCACAGCCACCTGGGCCTTTCCCGGAGGCCAAGATCTTGGACTGAAAGGGTGTCCGAGGGGATTCGTGAGACCGAGAAAACAGACGAGGCGCCAGCTCCGGAAGCCCTCTAAGATATCCCCGACTCCGTACGAGTTTGGGCCGCGGGATACACTGCCCTTCTCGTCCCTGGCTCCAGTAGGTTTCTGGGACCTTGGGTCCCGCAGCGGGCTTTCTTGTCCTCTCGGCGTGGACCCGCGTGGGCCCACGGCCGCAAAGCGTTCCGGAGGCAACTACGGTTTGGTCCCCCTTGGTTCTGGCTGCCTGAGCTTGCCCGCCCCTAGGAGGGGTGGGAGCGAATTTCAGGACGGTGGCCGGCCTGTCTGAAATTTGGGGTGGGGACGGGGTGCTATGGCTTGGGCTTTCCAGGTGTGCTTTTCAAGGGGTTGTGGCAAACTGTGGGCGTTCGCATTTTGCACGCGCCAGCGCGTTTTTGTGTTGAGTGGCCGGTGGTACCTTGGGCCGGGGCCTGCCCATCCCCCGCCGCATCCTTAACCCGTGGACTGCAGGCGACGCGGAAGAGTTGGCTCCGGGAAGCCGCGGGCAGAGCCGGCGCGGAAGGTTTCGGCCTCAGCCCACGCGGTGGCGCTGTCGGGAGAGGACGCCGGGGCTCGGGGCCCGGACCCGGGCGGTGACCCGGGCGGTGACCCGGGCTCCAGGGTGGTAGGACCTTGACGCCAAGCCAAGGCCTCCGGGCTCTTCGCAGCCACCGTGGGCTTGAGATCCTCTGCCTCTCTCCGTGTTTCCCTAAGGAAAACGCAGCGGGTCTGGAGCGCCACCCGGGGCTCCAACTCCCGCCGCTCCGAGGTGGGGGCGGAGACGCAGCGGCGGCTCCTTAGGCGCTTCCTTTTCTTCCCCCCTGGACTTGTTGCCCCGGCTTGCAGTCGATTTCTGCAAGTGAACTAGATGAACAGGGCGGTCATTCTCTCGCAGCGCGGTTGCAGAAGGACACCAGCTAGTACTAGTACGCTCTGGGCTCCGCAAAAGAATGAAGGGCGCCCCGTGGGGCGTTGCCCAGTGTGGCTAGGGTGGTGCTCGAGGCTGCAGGACCCCCCCCGCCTTCCCAGGCCCCAGGCCCGCGGCCGCGGAAGGGACACCCATATCTCCCACCAACGACTCCCCCAGCTCTGAAACCTATCTTCTCGCTTCTTGCCCCAGGTCAGGCAGTGCCCACACCCGACGCCTGTCTCCTACCCCGGGGACCCCAGGGCAGAAGGCTCCCGGTCCTTGCCCGAGGCAGCTCCTGGGCAGACCTTAGCACCTCCCTTCCCGCCCACCCAGCCCCTGCGCGGCCCGCCTTGCTAGCCCCCGACCCTCGGGCCTCTGGGGTGCTGGGCTCACCGCCTGGCGCCGACTCGTTGCCCACCGCCCTTCCCCACCAGCCGTCCCCCTGAGGCGCATCTCTCTGCTCCGGCCGCGGGGGATCGTTCGTTTGTGGCCCGGAGGAGGACATCCACCGTCCCTACCTCCGGCGGCCGACGGCTTCCTCCCCGCTCCGCCCCCGCCCAGGCCCCCTGAGCCGCCGGGGGAGCCTGGAGTCATTTATCTTTGCCTTTCGCGGGTTGTGATTTGTCCGGCTCTGATGCCAACGAGGAAAGCGTGCGGATAACGAAGTAAGTGTCCCCCGCCTTGCGCTCGGGTCAGTCCCCAGACGCCCGGAGCACTCTGGGAAAGGGCTCAAGCCCACCCGGGGCGAACGGTCCTCCAAGGCGCGTACCCCCTCCCCCGGGGCCCCTGGCTCTTGTTCTCTTGGCGCATCCGATTTCCAGTCTAAGCCCCTCGCGGTTATGCCGTCCGAGAAAGTGTTGGTCGCCAACTCCCCACGGACAGTCCGCGGCGGAAATTGGCTTCAGAGCTGGCGTGGGCTTCGTTTGAAAGAAATGATTCCCTCCCGCCCTCCTCCCGCCCCCAGCAGGGCAAGCTCCGGGGGAAGAGTCAGGCCCGCCTGGGTTCCTAGAAGCCGTCGAAAGCTTTTGACGCCGGCGGTTCCCAAAGTTTCCCCTGCTTGTTCCAGGGTGGAGGGAAAACGCGGCACAACTTTCCAGGGCTCTTTAAGAGGCAGGGTCTCTCTGCTGGGATGGCCGAACTTGAAAGCCTTGGAGCTTGGGGAAGGATGTCCGGCCCTCAGAATTTCGGGTAGCCCAGGCGAGAGCCGAAGTCCCGCGCCGGGCACCGTGCACCCTGCACCCCGGCGCCCAGGCCTAGGCTGTCCCGGAGCGGGCCTCTGGGAAGGAAGGTTGACCAGGGTCGAAATCAAGCACAACAAAAACTTAGTGTTGACAAAGAGAAATCAAGAAACGTCATTACAAGTGCAGGCCACTGAAGAAGAAGGCCTCATAGAAAAGGAGAGAAGATGGAAATAAAAACCATACACCGTTAAGACTAGCATATAAAGATCTGTCGATTTTTAAAATAACTAATCTGTGTTTTTGAAAGACAAGCAGCCTTTTACTAAATGACATAAGAAAAACTTGGGGGGTGGGTGAAGAAAAGGAGAAAAGTCTGAGCAGATTCCCGACGAAAAAGTCAGTTAGAAGGAAACTGAGGGATAAAAATGTCCCCCACATGTGAACTCTGTGTTTTGAGCACGGAAGCAGACTATTTCCTAATGCACAAAATAGGTTTTAGATAAAAGCATTTTTAAAAATCGAGCGTAATTAAAACAATTCTTTCGTGTGATTTTGTTTTAAAAATGTTTGGAAATAAACCATTTGAGGGATACAAAACGAAACCAAACAAATATTTTTGAATCACCATCAAATTTATTTACTGTTTTAAACAGTAGAAAATCTGAGCGAAAGGTAAAAATATCATTTAAAATATATCTTATTGTCGATATTAAACCTGCTGGAAATAATCGCTCAGTTGAAATAAGGTCAATAAAAAAATTGTGCAGTAAAAAGCGTATGTAATTTGAAACAGAAAAGGCCTTTATTGGGGACAAAACTCCAGAGGAAAAAACCCACACCGGACATACATCACCAAACTTCCTAGAACTCTCCTTTAAATCGAAATAAATTTGTAAAATGTGTTATGAAATACAACTCCACAAACATCCAAAATACATTTCTGGTCATAATTAATCGTATTTGACATTTTCCTCTTTCTTTAATGCAACTTTAAATAATTCAGGCTTTTCCTTAACATGATAGATTTTTTTTTTCAGTATCAGAAATAAACAAGAGGAAACTCCAATAAAGAGAAAAGCAATGAATCTAAAAGGATGAAGGATCTGAAAACAAACTAGCCACAATGTATATTTAATTGTATTAATTGTATATTTCATTTAAATAGCCCGTCTCAGAAGTTTAATAATTTAGAATCAATAGTTCCCTTCAAAACATAATAAAATATTTACACTTTATAAAATATTAAACGATTAACAATACAGTCGTGTTGTTTATAAGAGTGTAACTGAAGTCCTGCAAATCATGCTGTTGACAGAAGCCTGTGAGGTTATCGAAGTGATCCTTAGTAAAATGTAAATGAAGATCTTCAGACAGTGGTGTTTATAAAATAGCTCATTAATGACTTAGGATTGAATCGCTCCAACCATTCGCATCATCAGATATAATAATAGTGACGAATCAGACAGGAAAGATCCTGGCTAAACCATTTGCATTTTTTTCCAGAAGTACTGAACTCCTAATATCACCAATTCTTCTAAGTTCCTGGACATTGATCCGGAGGAGGATTCGCAGTTCAACATCAAGGTAAGGAAGGAAACAGCATTGTTATCGTTGTTGAGATATTAGTAAGAAATACGTCTTTCCTCATGTTGTAAACGGGCTAAGTTTGACAGTGGTAGTTGGCTTTTGCAACACCCCCTTCCCATTTCGACATATTACAGATTGAAAAAAAAGTTTGTTGCTCAAACTTACAGTTTGTTTCTTGCAGCCCCAAACCTTTTAACTACCACCACGGGTTGATTTACTGGAGCCACTTTGCTCTTACCGACTTCGAACTGGGCATTTTCTCCAACCCGTTTGACTGGGGGTGGGGTGCAGGGGAGGATGGGGCTTGGTGAAGAAAACCAGGGAAAGGCAAACGCTGCCTAAAGCTCCCAGGGTGGCTCCCCTAAGATTTACTATCCTGCTTGTTTCTTTTCTCGCTGGGATCCTACCGACTCCCGGGTCGCCTGGGGCTTCTTTGGAACTTGGTGGGCGGCGCCTGGGTGCTGGGTTCTTGGTGATCTGGGCGCCGACTCTTAGGCCGGGGGCAGGTTTCCTTTCTGGGACCCTTTCTCTTCCAGAGGTTCTGAAGCCTCTCAGCCTGTGCGTCTGCCGCCCACCAGGGAGATGCGACGAGTCGAAGGCGGCCTTGTCCTGGGCACAATCGGCGGACTCAGCTTTCCAGTCTGTGCACCCAGCCGGGATTTCCAGAATTACTCCCGAGCGCGTTTCCCGAAACCGAACTGAGTTTGGCCCTCTGGCGCCGCCGTACAGTCGACGCTTCTTAAGGGGGATCGGTGGCTCTGGCGGCGAGAAGTGGGAGCGCCCTCGGGGTTCAGGGGATTAGGAGGGAGAGTAGGCGTGTGCGGGAGGGACTGGAGGCGCAACCAGTTGAGGGGGTTTCTCTGGCCTCAGGGCCGGCGAGGATGCGTCCACATTTTCTCACCTAAGGTCCTAGCGGCTAAGGTCCGCCGACGCCCCGGGCGTCTCGAGGGGGCTGCGGCCCCTGCCCACGTGCTTTTCCTTAAGGAGGCACCGCGCCGAAGCGGAATCGCAAGGACAATAGCGCGGCCGGAGGCCAGCCTGCTTGGCTAGTAGGCGCGCCACCTTAAATGAGCACCGCAGCCGGAGTCGGGCTGCAGCCGGCCGCGGCCGCGGGAGTCGGCAAAAGTTTGTGGCTCTGTTACGCCTTCGCGGGACCTGCTGGGGACGCTCCTGTGCGGCCTCCCCCAAGGCGGGGAGGCCGGGTCCTTACGGCACAGTTCTGCTCGCTCCCGCAGCCCTGGGTTCGAGCAGCGCGGGGTCCCCAGGAGCCCTAGTCCTGTAGCTCGAGGACAGGCAGACCCACCGCCCTCGCCGCCACCGCGTCACGGGCTCCAGGCGGCCGGGTCTGCGCCGCTCGCGATGTCGCCAGAGCGGCGAGCGCTCCAGGGATGCCATCCAGGGATGCACCCCGCTCTGCGCCCACCACGCAACCCCCATTCCTGTGCCACCCACAGCCCGGCGGGCGGTGGCCGTGCTCCTGCCATTCGGGACACCCAGGCTATTGTTCCGGACTCGCGGCCGTGCCAGCTCTGAAGGAGAAGCGGCCTTCCCTGCGCGCGCCGCGGCACGGAGCGCGGCGGGCCGGGACGCTGGGCTCGGCGCTGAGCGGGAGCTAGCAGGCACCGGGAAAAGTTGCTCGGAGGGGCGGAGGCGGTGGGTGGTGGGCGGAGGCGGTGGGTGGGGGAGGCGATCGCCCTCCTATCTCCAAAGTCGAAAGTACTCCGCGCAGTTAACAGAGCTGGGAGCCGAGGCAACCGCGGTCGCCTCTTGCGCGTCGGTCTGCGCCTCCGCCGGCAGACGCGGCACCCAGCGACTGCCGTGTCGCCGCCGCCTCCGCGCCGAGACCAGTGCGCCTACGGGCTGAGCGAGGCGGCCGCGCCCTGGACCCGCCGCAAGGAGGAGGACCAGACCCTGGGCCCAGGTGCCCGGCGGCGCCCAGACGCACCCACCCGCTGGCCGCGGCCACCGCCTCGCGCCGCACTCGGTCCTCTGCCATCGGTCCTTCGCTGCCTCGTGCGCGAGGTCCTCGTCACCCGGCTCCTACCGCCGACTCTCTCCTTCCTCCTCCTCCCTCCTCCTTGCCTCCCACCCGCCCCTTGCTTGTCCCTCTGCCTCCTCCGAAGCCCCGCCGCCGTAGGGTCGCCTTGCTCACAGCGATTGATTGATTGATGTTTAATTTCCTGCCAGGCGGGGCCCCCCTCCCCCCGCAACCTCCCCAACCCTCCTCCCCGCCCCCCACTCCCCTCTTTTCTTGCGGTGGACCAGTCTGGCTTGGGTTTAGATCCATCCCCCCTACCCCCATCCCGAAATAACCCAGAGACTTCCCCTACCCCCACCCCAAATTATTATTTTGAAGGCGCTAGATCTGGGGACGGAAAGGGGGAGGGGGAGAAATCGGAAACCGAGGACAACCCAAAAGGACTCACTTTGCCTGATGACTCAACGCAACTAATAATCATCTCCCTCTCAGTGTGTCTTTCTCTGCGGCTTGTCAGTGAGTCCGGCTCTGGCTGCTGGCAGAGGCGGCCGAGAGGGGAGAGGCTGGAGGTGACAGCTTGGGCGGCCGCCGCGTTTCCTCCCGCGCGCGGTCCCGGGTCCCTGCGCCTTCTCCGCTCTTGGTGTCACCGGTCCCGCCGCTCTGGCCGCGCCTCCTTGCGAGCTAGCGGCTCTGCGAACCGGCAGCCCCGGCCCGCCGCCGCCGCCGCTGCCTTTGGGTTCTCAGCCCCTTCTCTCCAGAACGGGTCTCCTTCCCAAAGGTGTGAAAAGGCTCTTTCAGCCTCCTTCTCTTACCCCCCCCTCCACCGTCCCCTCCCCCGCTCGCTCGGGTGTCCCTTTGGAGGAGTCCTTTCCCTCTCCTCCTCCTCCCCCTCCTCCCTCCCCCCATCATCATCATAACAACCATCTCCGCACCAGAAGAAGACACCCTGACCCAGGACCTTAAACGTTAGGACCTGGGGAAGAGGGAAGGGGAAGGAGTAAAGAGAAAGGAAGAAGACTAGGAGAACACTGCAAAACCAAGCACCAGAAACTTTCCACCCTGGATTCTCTACTTTTGCTCCATGGACAGAGCCCCAGCCAGCCAAGTTTCAGACAGACCGTGAGCAGTAAGTACGCAGGGCGAGGGCTCCGGCGCCGCGCTCGGGAATTCGGGGAAGCCCGGGGTCTGCGAAGTTCCCTCCCCGCCGTTCTCGGCCTCTCGGACCGCGAAATCAGGGAATGCAAGCGGAACCCTCGCTCGCTCGCAGCCCTCCTGCTCCGGGTCTTCATCCCGCTTCCTTCCTTTCATCTCCCCTCTGCCACCCCCACCTTGTCTCATTGACCATTGGCGCCGACGTTGCTCGCGCGGCGAGAGCGCCCAAGAGGATTCCCAGCGCGCAGTGCGGTGCCGGCCGGGGTCCTGCTTCTTGCGGGTGTTAGTGACAGCGCGAGCGCCGTTTCATCAGGTGTTTTCCCTCCTTCCCCGCCCTCCCCATCCCCCAATCCAGGGGTGTCGAGACCTGCGGCTTCCATGAGGAGCGCACTGCCAACCTAGTGACCCAGAGGAAAACTTTCTGGAGCGATGTTAAAATTGGGGCGGATGAAGACTGCTCCTGCACTAAGAATTCAAATGCTTTTTGCTTTTGTGTTTTATGCTGAAGATCTTTTTAAAAAGCATTCAGGATCAGATGAAGATAAGAACGCTCCAGAATAATTGTAGCGCCCGCCTTTGTGATGGAGGTTATTTTGATAAATACCTCTAAGTGTTTTCAGATGCTTATTAATGTGGAATTAGGATTGATTTTATGCAAAGTGTGTGTTTAATCTCAGGACTTGCTCCGTGTAGGTAAAAAGCGGGCATTTAAGGGGTTCTTTGCCCGGCCTTTGGCTCCTGCCTGGCCATTCACAGCGCATTTACCGGGTGGTTAATTTGGTTATGGACTTGCTCACAACCCCCCGCCCCCTACTCCCTTCCCAAGTGGGTGGAACGTCTTTTTCTGAAGTTCCTTTCTTCCACCACCGTGACCCTGGGATGGGCTTAGGCTGTTGCACCCAGGAACGGTTTATGCCAACCCCGTCTCAATGAATGGACCACTTTTAGGCGCCCCTGGGTGCCAACCCGGGCCTCGACCCCGAGGGCTGACTTCTGGGGAGCTGCGACTGGGCAGAAGTCGTCGAACCGAGGCGCTGGGCTTCCTGGGGGCCGCCCAGTGTAAGGTTGGGACCGGCTTCCCGGCTCGGGCCCCTCGGGCAGCGTGGGAGGAAGTTTGTGTGGCTGTGGTGCAGCGCTCTGCCACTGGCCTGAACGTCTATCACGTGTGTGAGCGGTTTTCCCTCTTTTTTCTCCCTCCCCCTTTCCTCCCCCCACCCCCTCCCTAGGTCCCTGTGCGTTTTATTGCGACCTGCCGGTGGGAACTTTGTCTCCGAGTCGGAGCAGCATGGAGCGGCGGAGCGAGAGCCCGTGTCTGCGGGACAGCCCCGACCGGCGGAGCGGCAGCCCGGACGTCAAGGGGCCTCCCCCGGTGAAGGTGGCCCGGCTGGAGCAGAACGGCAGCCCCATGGGAGCCCGCGGGAGGCCCAACGGCGCCGTGGCCAAGGCCGTGGGAGGTAACAGCCCGGAGCAGGGAGGCGCGCAGCCCGAGGCCCAGTGATAATGGCCCGGGTGTCAGGGTTCAGGTTGATTAGGCGCTGTCTCGGTGTAGGATTACAGGAAGTGAATTCCAGGTTGCCAAATAATGCCCCCGTCGCCTCATCTGCAACTGGTAGCTTCATCTCGAGTTAAAACAAGAAAGTGGTTTTACCCAGAGGGTGGCATTTTTTGGGCATTTTGCCACTGTGTGCTGAGGTGTTGGCAGGTTTATGTCACAGCCAGCTAACTGTTTCTAGATTTTCCTAGAGAGCTTTTTAGTGATTTAACTCTTTTGCCTTGCCTCAGAGTGTCTGTTGTAGGGATGAAGTTTAGATGCGTTCGCTTTTAGGGAATAAAATAGTCGTTAATACTCAGGCGAGTACAGGAACAAGGACAGTTGATGTTACTTTGTAGTTAGGACAGTGCTTCAAAGACAGATGAGTGACAACTGGGAATATTTCCGGCCAGGTGAAATGTGGGAAGAATCACCATGAATCCATCAGGCCCTTACAAGCTTAAATGCTGCTGCTGTCTATAGTTTAGTTGTATGCATTTGTAACTTTGTTATAAATTATAGGACAACAGGTAAAAATAGCAAAGTAGCCTTGTTAACTATATGCTGTTTTACCTCCCAAGAATTTATTAGTAATTTTACTTGAAGAAAATCTTTTGTAGTTTTTACTATTTAAGCAACTACTTTCTTTTAAAGTAGTCAGGAAAAGCAATCATATAAAATAAAGATATGGAAGAAATATAAACATTGAAATATTTTGAAGTTTATATGCCATTTGCTTAGTTGTCTTTTACGTGTAAAATACATAATTCTACATGGCATGCAGGTTTTCTGTGTGTTTGGGATAAATTACTAGTTTAATTTTTTATGCTTCTGACTTTTTTTCTCTAAAATTTCAAAAGCAGCCCATTTAATTTAGTTCTTTATATTAACCTGTCTTAAATGATATAAAACCTTGGCAAACCTTAATGATAAGTTCCCATCCTCTTGTTATAAGTGTCTGTTGTGTGTATTTCAAAGTAGATACCTACTTACCTCTAAAAATGTTCACTACCCTTTAAAGAGTTAAACACATATGTTTTATAAAACCATTTATTTTTTCTTTTTACTTATTTTGCTATTTCTATTTCTTCATGGTAAGCATAGTTTGTCTCAGTCCTTCATATTAATCATCTCACTTGAGAAGTATTCATCCTTTCAATGTTGTAAATTAAAAAAAAAATTCGATGATAGATTCTGACTTGTTTATCTCCCCTTTTTGGGACTTGAAAATATACTTTATTGAAGCAAAAGAAAACTTGACAGTTCTGTGACCCACATTTTAAAAGTGAGGCTTATTAATTTGTTGTCCTAATACTGGAATAAATAATGTCAGACTTTTTGTATAACCATTTAGTATGTGCCTATGAGAAAGAAGAATACATAGAGAGTATGATTGTACCAATTATGAGATATGCTAAGTGCTGAAAATGTTTGTTTGAAAAAGTTTTGGAAATCCTTGGAGGCAGTGTGTTTCAGAGTGGCCTTTGTGGACAGAAAAGGCTTGGACTTAAAATTTTGGTATCTTTCTGACAATATAAAAAAATTCACTAAATTGAAAGGAGTCTCTAAACATTTTAGAATGTAATTGTTAAGAATTGTGCTTCCCTAAACAATTTTTTTCCCTTCTTCTATATCATATTGAACTATGAAGGAAAGTGCCTCATTCTGTTGACCAGGGATACCTTTGGTTTTTGGTTGCCTTTCAAATTTTCTGAGACTGTAGTTCACATTTGAGCCCTTATATATTTGCTATAAACTAAAATTATTATTTTGGTGAAGAATAATAGATTTGTTTCAACCAGCTGCATTGGACACTTTCTCTTAATTAACTGTGTTCAGTAATAGCAGAGGTCTTATTAGCTGCTTCCCAAATTGAAGATAAAGATGACATTATTTTGTCTTAATACATATCATTTATAATACTTGATAGTGAAGTGGTTGAAATAGTGTATGTTTAGTGGAATTTAATTTTTTTTTTTAAAGAAAGCTTTTACTCTGTATAGTATAATATATTGTAAAGAGATTAATTTAGATGACTTTGGAGTATAATAACTTAGAAGATAAGATTTTGATAGTACAGAGCTTTCTAATTGAATGGTAACAATTACTTTATGAGTTTAAGTTTATATAATTTCCAAGTGTACATTAAGATGTTAGTAATTTATTTGTAACTTTTAACTATGTGCATAGTTTGGAGCAAAGCCAACCCTTTTAAAAATTGCACATTCTAAATTTTAAAAAATGTTTAAAATTAATTTCTACTTAAAAGTTTTTTGTAATTAAAGGTTTTTTGAACATAGAGTAAATATAAAGTAGATTATATTTCTACCATTCTATGTTCTTTTGTTTAAGTGTTCTTTATAAAGCAATATAGTAAGCATAGATAACTACGCAAGTATTTATAGCTCTGTATTATTTATTTGTTACCATTTTCAGATACATTGCAGTCTTGTCAATGGTGTGAAGACAGATACAATAAAATTTGTCTTGAAGTGTAGCTAAAAATTTGGGAGTACATATTTGTTAACCTTTAGTGTTCCT